GGCCTGCAGCTTCCTGTGGCTTTCCTGGGTGATGCAACCCTGGCAGACGCCACCTCACGGGGCGTGCTGAGGGCCAGCCCAGGAGCTCCAGAGTCTACCTCGAACGGGAGGGACAGCTCTCAGCCCTGGCTGCCCCGAACAGACCCCAGGGGCTCCGTTCTTTCTGGGGCTCCCGTCTCGTGACAAGAACTGTGCTCCGCAGGGTGCTCACTAGACAGGAAGTGCACGACGGCTCCTCCCACGTACCTGTGCACCTGAAGAACGGGAGCCCCACTCAGCACAAACTTGTACACGTCCTGCTCTGGGACACTTGTCACGCAGTCCCAGTTGGGCTAACGCCCTGGGGAGAGCAGGGAGTGGTGCTGGGGTCGGTCTGCTTCGGTTTCCTCTCGTTTCTCCAGATGTACCAGGGTCTTGCCACTCTTTGTAGACTCAGGGTGGGCAGGCACTGCAGAGCCAGCAGGGCCCAGTTCCCAGGTGGGGATGGAGGCCGGTAGGCACACAGCATGCCAGAGACGCCCTGGGAGCTGGGAGGACATGGCCGGGCCCTGGCTCCGGCTCATCACACGTCACACGTCACCTGGCTCAGTCCCCAGATCCCTGGAGGAATGGCTGCTCGTCATCCTTGGGATTCCAAACTGGAGCATCCAGCAGGCTGCCACCCCACAGCCACACCCCCGGGCCCAGGGCGCAGGGCGAGCCACACTAGTTGGAGCAGGACCCTCAGAGCATGACCAGCTCCCTCAGCGACCAAACGCCTGAACTTCCCAAACTCGCTGCCCCTCGCCAAGCCTGTTTCCTCATTTGGAAAATGCAAGTAACCACATTTGCAACCTTTAGGCCCACTAGGAAGATTCAAAGGAGCTTCTATCTGTAAAGCACAGAACTGGACCAGTAACCGTATTATCATGACTATTCTGTGGGCTGAGAGTCCCCCAGAGCCCCAAAGCCCCCACAATCTGTCCCCAAGAAAGGTGGTGGGAGGGGGTGAGCGTGGCCAGGATCTGGGTCTGCCGGGGTCCCATCTGTGCCACCGTCTTGGTGCCGTGGCCTACTCTCCCTGTACGTCAGGGACTGAATGTCGGCGTCCCTCCAAAGTTGGTATGTTGAAGCCCCAAAACCAAGGGGATGAACTAGGAAGTGGGCTTTCAGGAGGTGATTAGAGACAGATGAGGTCATGAGGATGGTGCCCCATGACGGTATTAGCATCCTTAGAGGAAAAAGAAGAGTCTAGCACTCACTCTCCATGCCACCTGAGCACAGCCAGGAGGCGGCCACCTGCTTGCCATCAAGCGGCTCTGCTCTCATCAGGAACCGAACCTGCTGACACCTGATCTGGACTCTACCCTCCAGGACTGTGAGAAATCAGTGTCTGTGGTTTAAGCCCCATCTGCGGTATCTGTTATGGCCGCCGGAGCTAAGACCACAGGCTGTTTCTCCACCTGTAAGATGGCAGCTAGATTGGACGTGTCCTGCCCGAGGTCACGGAGTGGGTGTGTTCTGTAAACTCGACACCCACACACATGGAGGTGTGTGTGTTTGCTCTCGAGGCTGAATCACGCTGAGGTCAGCCAGCACCTGGGCCTGCTCGCTGACCTCGCCTGGGGTCCTTGTCCTCCCTGCTGTGGCGTGAGACCTCTGACCTCCCTCTGAGGGGTCTCTCTGGGCCTGTCACCATGGCTGCAGGCCTCCCCGGGGGGCCCATAGTTTCTCCAGATAGAGCCAGCACAGCCGGGGATAAAAATAGACTTTGCCTGAAAATCCAGAGTTTCACATGACATCTCCAGGTGCTTAGGCGGTGACTCACCTTAAAATGGAAAGACTGTGTAGGATCGTTCTGTGACACTCCTGCCAGAGGTGCAGAACTGGAATCTGACCATGAGGACACTTCAGGCCGCTGACACGGAGGGGCGGTCCACAGGACAGCCAGGCCCCGACCTTCACAAGTGCCAAGGTCGTGGAGGTCAAGGAGCCCGCGGAGCCGGGCCAGGCTGGGGGACAATGAAATCAGGACAGCTGGGCGCACATGCGACCCTGGGTCGGGTCCTTCTCACAGCGGGTGATGCTGGGACAAATGCAGACACCTGACGGGATCTGATGTGTCATTATTTCTTGATCTGACCTGGGGAGAAAGTCCTGGTTTGCAGGAAAAACATGGAAAAGCCCCCCAGCGGGGGGGGGGGCATCAATGTGTTCCCAAATGGTTTAGCTGAAAAAAAGGTTCCGGTTCTCTACCTCCAGCTTCCCTGTAAACGTGAGATCATCTCACAATTTGAAAACACACACGGATACAAGAAACGGGGTCAGGCACAGAGCGCCCGTGCGAACGCTCGGGCCCCTGGTGGAGGCTGCTGCTGCTGCTGCTGTTACTGCCCGTTTGTCCATGGTAACCCGACAAGCAGAATCACCACCTCTGGGCCTCCTGTCGCCTCCCTCACCGACACAGAACTGCTGGGAAAGTTTATGAAAGTGTTTAGCTTTAACACACGGTAAGACCACCCCCCACCGTGAGAGCGCCTGGGTTCTGCAGACCTGGTCCAGGGCAGGCTCTGCCCCCGGGCCTTTGTGCCCAGGGGACCTGGGGACACTTGCTGGGCTGTTTCCCCAACTGCACAAGGGCCCAGGGCAAGCTCCCCTCGCAGGCCTGGAGAACGAAGCGGGACCACACCAGGGGCGCCCTGGATGAGAGGGAGGCAGCCTCCCTCTCCCTCCCTCCCCCTGGGAGGGACCCCCAGTCCACCATATCTGGTCTGACAAGCAAAGGCCCCTCTTGGCTCCAGGGACGAGATAGCAGACAGATGGATGTGAGATGAGGCTGAGCACAGCTCAGAGAGCACAGGGCCTGGCCAGGAGCCTGCCTTGCCATGGCTGCTCCTCCTGGATGGGCCCTGAACCTGGTGGGGTCCTGGGCCTGCCTCTGCTACCTGCCGTCAGGCAGGGGTGGAAGCATTGAGCGGTAGGAGCCTGTGCTCTCCTAAGGGAAATGGGAGCGTTTCTGTCGCTCCCTGGAGCTAGTGGGGGAAATTCGATGATAACTTCCCGATGTGATGCGCAGGGAGTGAATCCCCACGCCTCACAGCCCCTACAGGCCCCCTAGGCTCGTCCCGCTCTCCTCCCCACTGTTCTCTGGCCGTAGGGCCTTCTGCAGGGGCAGGCCCATCCCACCCAGGACCTTTGCACCTGCTGCCCCCTCCTCGGCTGCCCCTCGTTCTGATGGCTGCACAACCAACCCCTCCTCCCTCGGTTTCCCCTCATTCTCCGCTCAGGGTAGCCTTTCCAGAGGCCCCTGGGAAGCAGTGGTTTGCAGATTTTCCCTGCATCACACTTAGGAGTGGGGGGTGGACAGAGACAGCCAGCTTCACCCCCAGTGCTCCAACCGGCAGGCCTGGGGAGGGGCCCAGAAGCTGCTTTTCCACCAGCTCCGCGTGACACGCAAGCTGCTGGCCCGGCACCCCGCCTGGAGAACCCCTGCTCTAGAGCGGCCCCAGCAGGCGCTCTCTGCCCGACTTACGGCTGTTGCTCTCTCTCCACTGTTCTTCCTCCTCACTGAACCCCACTTTGCTGCAGGAGCTGGAGGACCCTCCCCAACCCTAGGGAGGGCGCTGATTCATTCCTCTGGCCCAGAGGTTCTCAACCCAGGTGGCCCCACCCGGGGGGCATCTGGCTGCGCAGTGCCGGACAAGGAATGTTGCCCCCTCCTCCCCCCCAGTGCACATACCCTGGAGACACACTGATACGTCACTCCTGCCAGCGAGAGCAGGCTGGCTGGGGCCTCGGGGAAAGGTCGTCCCCTGATAGCGGCGGGGGTGGGGGGGACGGCTCCCACTCCCTGCTCTCTGGGTGGGAGGGCGCGGCTGCCATCCTGGACTCAGCCAGGAGCAGAGGAGCAGAGGGATGGAGCAGCCGCCTCCCTGCATGTCTGCTGGGCGGCACTCTGGGGTGGCAGACGGTGTCCCAGGGGCCTCGCCCAGGAACGGGAACTTGTCTCGTTCTGCACGTCTCGCACTGAGAGCAGGACCTGCACACACAGGTAGGCGCACCATCAATGAGCACTGGGAGAACGTGCCAGAGCCTCAATTCTGAGACCTGACCTGGCCTGACCCTGCCTACGGGCAGGAGGCTCACTTCCCCGTTGGCCTCCGCTTGCCCATCTGTGAAATGGGTGTAACGACCCGGGGACCCGGAGCAGTCGAACAGGTACAGACAGGAAGGCGTCAATGGAGGTGAGGAGAGGAAGTGACACGGCGCAGGCCTCCTGGATGTCCCCTCCACCCGCAGTGCATGTGAGTCTGGGGGACACCCACTCCTCGGCCCCCCAGGGGCGCATCAGGAAGCTGAGCCTGAGCCAATAGGAAGCAGGGAGAGGTCGTGTTTGTCTGAACGCATCACAAGGGGAGACTGGCTGCGCCCCAGCTCGGTGGGGCTCGTCTGGGTGTTGGGGGCTGCGCAAGGCAACCAGCAGCCCACAGGACCGGGGGACCAGGGTGGGCAGCAGCGTGGACACGCGATGGGGCTGGCGATGCCGTCCGGGAGCGGTAGCTGTTCAGCTGGCCTGGCCTGGCCCGACTAAAAGTCCTCCAGCCCTGCCCACCCTCGGCCCGTCAGCGAAGTTCCGTGTGGTCCAGTCGCTCGCCGGAAGGACGGCTCCCTGGCCCCCACCCCGGCCTGGATGGAGCTGCCCCAACTCACAGGCCACGGACACAGGAGAAAAGAAAGGGCGGTGGGTCTCCTGCGTCTGTCCCGCAGCCGGCACGGCCGACCTGCCCGAGGAGCAGCGCCCTCTGCTGGCTGCGTCCCAGGCCAGGAGGCTGGGCCAGGCGGGCTTTGCTCAGTGGCTGGTAGTGGCCGGGTCCCCAAGGCTGTGAGCGTCACTGCTCTCCAGGACCTCCTGCCCCGGGCGCCGGAGGGCGGGGGCCCTAGTCCCTGGCTTTGCAGCCCTGGGCTGTCTCGCCCGTCTGTCCCCTCGCAGGGTCTGTCCTCTCCTGGGCCGGTGCAGGCTGTCATAGCGCCAGGGCCTGAGCCACTGTCCACAGCAGACGGGGCGACAGCAGCAGCATGACGGCCAGCAGTGGGCCGGAGGCCCCGGGGGCAGGGGAGGCAAGGGAGGTGCAGGAGCAGACCTCGTAGCCGTTCTGGCGGCTCCGGTCGTGCTGTCCCGGCCGGGCGTGGGTCCCCGCCTCCCCATCCGCGCCCGCGCCCTCGGCGTCAGCCTGCGGCTCTCTGCAGACCAGCCAGTCCTGGGCGGTGGACCTTGGGTACCCGGGCGCCACCTCCAGCTCGCTGTCCAGCACCCTCCAGTACTCCTTGCCGCGGAAGAAGTACGCGGCGCCTGGCGGGGGAGAAGGGGAAAGGTGGGCTGAGCTCTGGCGCCTCCACCCCGGCTGGGCTGGGGAGGTTGCCGCATGTGGGTTTCAGGCTAGACAGCAGGAGGGTGAGGGAGCAAAGAGCTGCGGGCCGTGGGGAAGGTGAGGGTCAGTCTTTGTCTCAGCCCCTAGAGCCCGTCTGCGGGCACCCAGAGTGCTCAGGCCTGGGAAAGCTCAGGGGAGCCGCCTGGAGGCAGGGGCACAGCTGAGATGACCTCTCAGTTTCTTTTCTCCCTGGATATTTACGGAGGGCCTACTACGTGCCAGGCTGTTCCAGGTACTGGGGATGTTGCTTTGAAAACAAAACAGAAGAAACTTCCCGCCCAGGGAGCTGCCCCCGTGGGGCGGGTGGTGTATTCCACGCCATCAGGAGGGGCAGTGAGAACGTGTGCGCAGAGCCCCACAGCAGGCGAGAAGGGGCCGTGTGGGTGTTCTGGGGCCCGTGAGGCAGGTGCAGAGACCCCGGGTGCGTGTGAGGCTGCAGGAAGCGGATCCCCAACCCCTCTCGAGATCCCCACTCTACGGCGGGGGAGACTGAGGCTGCCCTGTCTGGCTCACCGTCTGACCAGCGCATGGCGTCGTCGAGCGTGCTGGGGACGCCCCTCCACGGGGGGCTCTGGGCGGGGTGGCCGGGGTCCATGCGCCGCATGTGCTCATCATAGCGCCAGTACAGCTGGTCCTTAAAGAAATAAGTCTTGTCATTGTGGGCCCAGGAGAAGGCGGCATCGATGCCGCCCGGCGGGAGGCCAAAGTCGGAGACGGGCCGCGGGTATCCTTCCTCTACGTTATTGTCCTTAAACACCCAGTATCTGTCTCCTGGGGGCGAGAGAAAGAGCCATGGGCCGGGGCTCTGCCCACCCCAGGGGTGGGGGCTCCAGCCCTCGATCCTCCCCAGTCAGCCACCCGACGCCATCGCCCCGCACGAAACCCAGGGGGCCCCGCGAGAATTCATTGAGCACCCACTCTGCGCCTGCACAGGGTCCTGCCACTCGGGGACCCGGGTTACAAAATGGCAACCGCTCCACAGACAGGGAAAGCAAGCCCCAGGAGAGTCACCGCCTGCGAGAAGGCACTCTGCTCTGCTCTCCTCATCCGCTTCCTCGACCCTCGGGGCCAAGAGCATCCTCACGGGCAAAGACAAGAAAGGCTTCGGTCAAGGCCTAACCAGCGCGGGCGGGCACCCTCATCAGACTTCGCACAGGAGCCCACGCTTAGCGAGCACCCAGAACTCCAAATCCGCACGTTACACTTTCAAACAACGGTTTGATTAAGACGCCCTTTGCGTGTATCCTCCACGTCGTGCTCTGGAAACACTGCTACGGAAGGAGCGGGGGAAAGAGAATTAGGTTCACCTGGGTGTTGTCACATCCTCCCCTCTGCTTAGCAATAACCAACCCTGTTACTTAGAAAACAAGCAAACAAAATGAAGCAAAACCTTTAAAAGTCCTTGCTGGACAAAGGACCGGAACAGACATTTCTCCAAGACAGACACTCAAATGGCCAATACGCACAGGAAAAGATGCTCCACGTCACTAATCACCAGGGAAATGCATATCAAAAATACAATGAGATATCATCTCACACCCATAAGGACGGCCACTATCAAAAAACAGAAAATAGCGGCTTGCCTGTGGTGTGGTGGTTAAGTGTGAGCGCTCTACTTTGGTGGCCCGGGATGCCCGGGTTCGGATCCTGGGTGCAGACCTACACACTGCTTGTCAAGCCATGCTTTGGCAGTGTCCCATATACAAAACAGAGGATTGGCACAGATGTTAGCTCAGGGCCAATCTTCCTCACCAAAACACACCCCCCAAAACACACAGAAAATAGCAAGTGTTGGTGGGGATATGAGGAAATTTTGCACTGCTGGTGGGAACATAAACTGGTGCAGCTGCCGTGGAAAATAGTTTGGCAGTTCCTCAAAAAATTAAACAAAGAATTACCATAGGATCCAGCTTCTGGGGATATATCCAAAGGAACTGAAAGCAAGGTCTCAAAAAGATATATTTGCACACCCATGTTCACAGCAGCATTAGTCACAATAGCTCAAGTGTGGAAGCAACTCAAGTGTCCGTCAACAAATAATAAACAAAATGTGGTCCATCCACACAATGAAATATGATTCAGCCTTTAAAAGGAAGGAGATTCTGACACCTGCCACAACGTGGATGGACCTTGAAGACATTCTGCAAAGTGAAATAAGCTGGTCACAAAAGGACAAACACTGTATGATCCCACTTACGTAAGGACCTCGAGGAGTCAAATCCACAGAGACAGAAAGTAGGAGGGCAGGTGCCAGGGACTGGGGGGCGGGGGGCGGACGGGGAGTTAGTGTGTAATGGGAACAGTTCCCATTTGGAAAGATCAAAAAGTGCAGATGGACGGTGGTGATGGTGGCACAACAATGTGAATGTAACTAATGCCACTGAACTGTACACTTAAAAATGGTTAAGATGGTAAGTTTTATGCCATGTGGTTTTTACCACAATTAAGAATAAAAAGAAGCAACTAGAAGGATGTGCAGCTATGACATACAACTATCTACTGGGGCTTTGGGGGAAAAAAATAAATAAAATTATTAAAAAAAAAAAAAAAAAAAGAATAAAAACAAATTTAAGAATTCTTTGCTGGAGAGGGGCAACAGCTGGGATGCCTGTGAGCCGGGGAGGGGATGAAGGCAACAACAGCCCACCTGCAGACCGCCCGTGTGAACATGACAGGGGCTGCAGGCTTTCCCCGGAGCAGGGGCGCGGGGAGTGTGGGGTGACCTGGCGCAGGCAGCCCGACCTGCCCAGCTGACGCTGTCACACAAAAGTGCAGATGCCAGGGGGCAGCGTGGGTCACAGCAGTAGGTGGCTTCACTCTGGGGAGTTACAGACCCTGTCACCCCAAAACACAGCTGCCTGGGCACGTGTGACCCAGGACGGCTTGCAGCCCCCAGGTGCCCACAGATCATGCAGGGCTGTCTCCCGCTGCGGGCTCGGGCGGCCCGCCTTCTCTCCAGACAGCACGCTCCCTGGGAGTAGCCTTGGCCCGGCCCAGCCCTGGGAGAAGGGATGTTGAGGGTGGAGTGACGCCCTCCTGCAGTGGATCTGCCATCCTGGACTGAGATGTGGGAGTTGGACGTGGTGTCCCAGTGCACTTAGAATAAATCCAGCTCCTTCCCACAGCCCCTCAGGGGCCGACCTGCACGTTTGTCTCGCCGCCTCGCCCCTCACTCGGCTCCAGCCTCACTGTCCTCTTGGAAGCTGTTTGCATTCAGCTGGACTGTTCCTGCCTCAGGGCCTTTGCACTGGCAGTTCCCTCACGTCTACCTGAAATGAACTTCCTCATTACTCGTGGGTGCTAATCGTGTGGCTCCCACGTGCAAGAGGGTGGGATTTTCAACTGTTTTGCACACTGTGTGTGGGCAGTGCTACCACAGGGCGGGGCACAGAGTCGGTGCTCAATAAACTCACGTTGGTCGAGTGCACAAATGAGTGAGCTGTTCTCTGCTCTGTGCTCTGAGCAAAGCACAGGACAGGCCTCCATTGCAGACGCAAGCTTTAGGGGTCCAGGGAGCGCAGGCTATGGCCCCACCATCAGCGATGCTGGCAGAGTGCCAGGGAGGGGCTGCGGGAGCATCCAGGCGGGGGCTGCCCACCTTTGAAGAAGACGATCTTGTGGTCCCTGGTCCGCTCATAGACGGCATCCACGCTGTCCAGACGCAGCGGCAGGCCTCGCCAGAAGCGGTGCATCTGCGCCGGCTGCAGGGACACCAGGTGCCGGTCCCGGGTCAGCCGCCAGAAGTACCTGCCTGGGGGCACAGGGGTGGGGCTACAGGTGGTGGGTCTGGGCCAGGGAGGGCCCGCCCTTCCAGGCACCGGCTGCTGGACCCCGGGGCTTACCTTTGAAGAAGAAGGCCTCGCCTCGGATCTGGGCCACTGCGTCAAAGCGAGTGCTGCACCTGTGGGGCACGTCCTCCCTGGGCCTGGGGGCAGAGAGAGCCCGGTGGGCTGGGGGCAGCCCCTCCCCAGTACCGTGGGCAGCTGGGCTTCGCACAACCTTGGGACGAGCATCCTTTTTTTTTTTTTTTAATTTAATTTAATTAATTTATTTTTCCCCCAAAGCCCCAGTAGATAGTTGTCTGTCATAGCTGCACATCCTTCCAGTTGCTGTATGTGGGATGCGGCCTCAGCATGGCCGGACAAGCAGTGCGTCAGTGCACCCCCGGGATCTGAACCCGGGCCGCCAGCAGCGGAGCGTGCGCACTTAACCGCTAAGCCACGGGGCCAGCCCTGGACGAGCATCCTGGAAGGAGCCCCCACGTCACTGCCCGAAGGCTCTGGGACTCACAACAGTTGTGTCGAGAGAGAAAGGGGGATTAAAACGAGTCCCTTTTCTGTGGTTGGCAAAGGAGGACACTTAGCCAGGCGGGCACTGGGCGCATTTGGACAAACAGCTCTGCACACCGCTGGTGGAGCATGAGCGCCCGTAACATGGAGAAGCCAGCTGGGCCCCATCCACTGAGATGCTGGACGTCCCTGGCAGGAGCCCCGATTCCAGGTCTGGAGCTCTGCCCCCAGAGGACTCACAGCAACAACATTCGTGATGACCAAAGATCAGGAACGAATTAAACGTCCCCTGCCCCGACACAGGACTTAGCCACAGAGCAGGGCACGGGCGCTGGGCAGCACGGACGCGGCTCTGAGAGAACCTGGCGTCTTCACACAGACACGGGGCCTCCCGGGCCTGAGCGCCAGAGGCACAGAGCAGAGCGGCACACCACGTCTCCCCACGTTTGTCATCTGCACACTCAGTGTGCTCACACACGTGCAGAACTTCTCCGGAAGACACACGCAGAGGTCTGCCCCCTTAGCATGTGCCCACTGGCATCTGTTACTTATTCAATAACTAAGTGACACGCAGAGCAACAATAAAGCCAGCCTTCTCGAGACCCCACAGGAAGTTCACCGTGTACCGTCAGTGAGGACAGCCTAAAGCCATCCCACTTTTGGAAAACCAAAACCAAACCAAACACATAAGCCTAAATATAGAGATTTTTGCTGTTTTTGTGTTTAGAGTTTGTGTGAGCCCGCAGGTGGCCAGGAGGCGTGCCAGGCTGTTAGTGCAGAGGTGGAGGAAGGGACAGGGACGTCCTCCGCAGATTCTGTGGCACTCGGTCTGCCGAGGGGTCTCTGCCGCCTGGCGAGAGGAGGTGGGCTCTGACTGCTTTAACCAAAGGGCTCGGGGTGAGTGACTCCGCGGCTGGGTGCTAAATGGCTGGCAGCTTCCACCCGGCTCAGGACAGTGTCCCTCCCAGGACACGCGCTCTCACCCTCCAGCCTCATGCACAGGCTGAGGACGGGTGCCCGGCTCACCGCCCCAGCTGAGCCCAGCCTTCGAGTCAGCCCAGCCCAGGCACCAGACCTGAGTCAGGGAGATTCCAGCCCCCAGTGAACATCCCCAGCACCGGAGCAGAGACCAGCCCCTCGCCGTGCCCTGTCCGAATACCTGACCCACAGAATCCACGAGCCCAACACGGCAGTGGTTTGACCCCACTTGGCAGGGGTGCTCGCTACACAGCAGGAGACGGCTGGGGCAAAGGGTGAGAGAAAACCACACATTTGAAATTCAACCCCTCTGCCTGGTCTCGGGCTGCGGCGAGCAGGCATCCCCCCCGCTGCTGAAGGAGCTTAAGGAAAGAAACCACCACTCGGGCTCAGCTAGCCCACAGAGCTGTGCTCCTCTCAGAAGAGCCCAGAGCCCAGGACTCGGAGCCACTGTTGGGGGCAGTGCTGCACGTAGAGACAAGGGGCCCACGGCTTACGGGGTGCTGGACCGATTGTCGGGGGGCTCTGGCAGGAGGGGAGGCTCCTCAGGCTCCGGGGTATCCGGCTGTGCCGTGGGGGACACGGACTCCCGCACGCCTGTGGAGACAAGGAAGCTGCATGGAACCGAGGCACATCCGCCTCCCTCCAAATCTCACCCCACTTCCTGGAGGCCCCGGGATGGACGAGGCCACCGGGCAGACAGACACCGCGCATGCTGTGAGGTCAGGCTCCGGGCCACAGCCGCAAGCAGGACGGACTCCCGCCCCAGAGCCGAGCACCACAGCGTGAGTAAAGACACAGGTGCCTCAACGAGGTAGATGAGTATTTACACACAGCCCACAATTCCACCCCGGTACAGACCCCACAGAATGGAAAACAGGTGTTCAAACAAAACCTTGTACGTGAATGGGCACAGCAGCATTACTCACAACAGCCGAAAGGTGGAACAACCCAAATGTCCATCAACGGATGAATGGATAAGTAAAATTATTCAGCCGTAAGGAGAAATGAATTACTGGGGCATGCTGTGACGTAGGTGAACCTTGACAACGCAATGCTCAGTGAAACAAGCCAGACACAAAAGGCCGCCTAGCGTGTGATTCCATTTATAAAAACGTCCGGAACAGGCAAACCCACAGAGACTGAAAGGAGACTAGTGGTTGCCTGGTGGGGGGAATGGGGAGTGATGCTGATGGGGATGGGGTCCTTGTTGGTGGGGGGGTGATGAGAATGTTCTGGAACTAGAGAGGTGATTGTGCAACACTGTGAATGTACTGAATGTCATTGAATTGTACACTTCAAAATGGTTAAACGGCCGGCCCAGTGGCATAGCGGTTAAGTTCACACGCTCTGCTTTGGCGGCCTGGGGTTCACAGGTTCGGATCCCAGGCTTGGACCTACACAGCGCTTGTCAAGCCATGCTGTGACAGCGTCCCATATAAAGCAGAGAAAGATGGGCACAGATGTTAGCCCAGGGCCAATCTTCCTCAGCAAAAAAATAAATAAAATGGTTAAAATGGTAAGTTTCACTACAATAAAAGTCTGCAGGTATCAAAGCTCTATGACAAGGCTGGCAGGACCCCAGGTCCCAGGGAGCCCCGGCAACAGAACTGGCTTGTTCATTCCACACACCGTGGAGCAGCTGGTGTGAGCTAGGCAGGGTCCGTGCGCACCGCGGTGAGCGAGACAGAGCCACCCTCCTCCTGTGGGGTTCTGTGCTCGAGGGCCCCGGGATTTCTGAGCTGCCCTCGGGGTGACCCACGCCTGGCTCTGGGGGGAAGACTCACCATACAACTGCCAGACGCGCACCCTGTCCTCGTAGGGGAGCCTGTAGCGCAGCGGGTCGCCGACCGGGCCCTGGTAGTAGGGCTGCATGATGGAGCTTGTGGCCGCCACGTGGCTCAGCCCGATGGCATGGCCAAACTCGTGGACGGCCACCGCGAACAGGTCCATGCCATGGGCATCTGGGGACATGAGGAGCAGTGAGGCAAGGGAGGGACGGCCAGCCCTGTCTGGGCCCGGCGCCCATAGGGGGAGGAGTGATGGACGTGCCGTCCTGGCTGTGCAGGGGGCCCCGGGCCTGGACAGATGGGTTCAGTGAGTCACTCAGGGCTCGTCTGGTTGCCACCAAGGCCCCACGGGGCCTGCAGGGGCTTCTGGGGGCCTGGTCCTTCCCCGAGTGCACGTGCCACTCTCGGCGGGGTGCCGGCCTGTGCTGTACAAGCCACAGAGTAAATATTTTAGGCCTTGCCAGCTATCTGGACCCCAAGTTAGAGGGGCCGTTGCAGGCTCCCCGCACCCTACAGTGCTGAAGGGATTTCCTGGCCCCCCGGGGATGGGCCTGGGATCCCATCACAGCAGAGAGCCCACAGGTCCTACGGGGTCACTGCTGGTTTCTCAGGCCCACCGGGCTGGGCTCCCCAGGCTGGTGTGTAAACATCTCCCTGCCCAGCTTGACCCTGGGGGCCTGTGCCATCTTGGGCCAGGAGAACTTGGCAGAAGCAATGATGTACTGGGGCCTGCAGAAGCCCTGCTTCTGCTCCCCACAGAAGCTGAGACGCCATGAGGACAAGCCGGCTCGGTCAGTCAGAGGAGACACACATCACGTCCCCCATCGTCCCAGACGTGTGAGCGCAGCCAAGACCAGCCCTGTGGGGTGCCCCTGCCCCGGACGGCCTGGTAAGATCAGCCTAACCTAGAACTGCCCGGCTGTTCTCATGGGCGAGACAGACACGCACGGCTTTAGGCTACGGGGGTTTGGGTTCATCAACAGGATGTGGCAGGTTTCTTCATCTCCAGGGGCCGGGGTGGCTCCCCGCTACACGAGGGGGGGTCTGTCAGTGCCCCCGGGTTACGCAGGGTCCCCACGGCTCAGCACCAGCCCCCGTGCACCTGCGGAGCGGAAGGTCCATGCCTCGTCGTCGTCGAAGTGGGCGTCCCCTGCGGTGTGGTGTTCGCCCGGGAAGAAGGCGTGGGCCACGGTGCCGCCAGGGCCGTCAAAGGGGTAGCGGTCGTTGTGGTCGGCCGTGGAGAAGTCGATCTGGATGTCGGCGGCGCTGCCGGCCACCTCGTGGAAGTCCAGGGGTGCGATGTCACTCCAGACTTTGAGGGCGTAGTGCATGAGCGCGCGCACCGTGTCGCGGCCCAGGGGCGAGTCCCGAGGGAAGGTGCGGACCCTGGGGCGGCGGGGTCAGAGCCAGGGTCAGGTCACCTGGACAGGCAAAGGGCCCCCACCCCGGGCTGAGGGGGCTCCCCGGGGTGGAGCATCGGGGACCTTATTTGGAAATAGGGTTTTGCAGACATACTTAAGGCAAAGATGGACAGGAGATCATCCTGGATTGGGGTGGACCCTAAATCCAGTGAGTGCACCCTCACAAGAGACAGAAGAAAACATGCAGACCCCCACGGAGGCGGCCACAGGAGGGCGGCAGCAGGGACAGGAGAGACGTGGCTGAGGGCTGCTGGCAGCACCAGGCTGGAGAGGCCTGGGACGGACTCTCCCTCAGAGCCTCAAAGCACGAAGCCCTGCGACACCGGGTCTGGGATCTGGCCTCCGGAACCCAGGATAAACTCCTGTCGCCTAAGCCCCTGGTTTTCAGGTGTTTGTTTTGGGAGACCCAGGAAAGCCCCACCCACCCACCTCCACGACAGGTTCCTCTTGTTCCACCGGGTCGGGGCCGGAGCCTGGCGCCTCCTTCGAGACACGGCCGCGGCCGGGAGGTCCGGGAGGGAACAGCGAGGGGTCTTCATCAGGGCCAGGGTGGCCTCATCTGTAGGGGTGGGTGGGGGTCAGAGCCGGGCCCAGCTCCCATCCACCCTGACCTGGGATTGGGATTCCGTGCAGCTCCCAGAGGGTTGGCACCAAGCTCAGGTCCCGTCCCCCGCTCCCTGCGTGAGGTCCAGGGGGAATGAGCCCAGGCCTCCAGCTACACCAGGCCCCAGTGTCAGGGGGACAGACGAGTTTCCATCAGACAGCCATGCAAAGGGTCTTTACAAAATCGGAATTTGTTGCCAACGTGTAAAATGTGGCGTGCTCGGAGAAAAGCCCCAGGTTTCCGCCCCTCTTGAAAAGCTGGGAGCCCTGGCAGATCCACCCGATAGCTGGCCTGCCTGGCCCCGTGGGCAAGGAGTTTGAGACCCTGCCCTGGAGTGTGGAGACGGCATCTGGGTGCGGCTGGCATGTACCCACCACTGCGCCCAGACCTGGGGGTGGTGAGGGTGCTGCCAGATGGACTCCACGTGGCGGGACTCCTCCGTCCCGCCCCAGGGCCGTCCCACCCCACCCCCACCCCCGTGGGCAGGCTGGAGGGGGCGCAGAGCCTCAAAGGGGAGGGGGAGACGTTAGGAGAAACCAAGCCGCCTGTCTCCCGCCGTCCCTAGAGGACTGACCCAGGACGCCAGTGGCCTCCAGGCCTCCGAACTGCTGCATGGCAGCGACGGCCTTGGACAGCTCCTCCTGTGTCTGCAGCTGTCCTGTTGTGGGGTCCGCCGGGGGCAGGTAGCCGAACCTGCTCAGCCACTCCTGTGGGCAGAGAGCAGAGTGAGGGGCGGAGGTGGGGGGCTTGGCCCCACAGAAGAGGAGTCTGCCCCCGGCCCACCACTGCCGTGGGGGCAGGCCTCTCCCAGCCCTGATCAACGCCCCAGCCCCAGCCCCCATTAGCCCACACGGCACCTCCTGTCCCTTCCTTAAGGTACTTTACAGGCAGCTGTTGGAGATGTGTCTTCCTACACCCCATGCCCCTTAGATGCAGTGAGCTTGTGCAGCACACAACCTGCACAACTGCTCCCGGCAGCCTGCCCCACCTCACACCTCCTGAGGCAGCAAAATGCCCAGGGGTGCTTAAGAAAGTGAAATTTAAAAAGCTTTGTAGGGGCCGGACCCCTGGCGTAGCGGTTAAGTACGCATGCTCCGCTGCTGGCAGTCCGGGTTCGGATCCCTGGCGCGCACAGACGCACCGCTTGTCAGGCCAGGCTGCGGCAGCGTCCCATACAAAACAGAGGAAGATGGGCACAGACGTTAGTCCAGAGCCGGTCTTCCTCAGCAAAAGGAGGAGGATTGGCACAGATGTTAGTTCAGGGCTGATCTTCCTCACACACACACACTAAATAAATGAATTAATTAAAAAACAAACAAACAAAAAGGCTTGTAAACATAGCCAGTGCCAAATTCAGGCCCTGGGCTGACCTGTGAGGCAGCGGTCTGGGACCCAGGCCTGAGACCCACAGGCTCACACTCGGCTTCAGGAACCTGGTCCTGAGCGGCACGTTCACGGCGGGTGAGAGCCCGGACTCTGGAGCCAGGCGGCCTGGGTCCAGACCCCACCTGGCCACCTCCCTGCTGTGCCCCTGGCGCAAGGCACTCAAGCCCTCTGGGCTGCTTCCCTGCCAGTGTGTGTCGGGCGGACAAGAGGCCATCATGAGCCGGGACACGGAAAACGCTCAGATCAGCACCTGACACAGGTGGCACCGTCAGGGGACAGCTCTGCCAAAAAGCCCCCCAGCGGAGGTCCCCAGGGCCAAACAGGAAGCAGAAACGGAGGGCAACCCTTTACCACAGACACGAATGGACCCCTGCCCAAGCCCCAGTCACCTTTGCCATTCTTTGGGGGCGCCGGGGGACAGGGAGGCACCGACGCCACCCGTGGGGGGCCCCCACAGGCTTCAATTCCTTCAACTGCCAAACGGCGCTTGTGTCCACCGCCCAGACTGTGACGATCCCACAGAAAGCACTCTGCTGTGTGTCCGCAGTGCAGGGGGGACCCATGGGTGGTGGAAAGCAGGATCTCCAGGATTCCCTGAGACCTGCCCGCCTCTGGACCTGCCTTCAAGAAAGGCACCAACTTGCAAGCCTATTTTTTTTTTTTTTTTGGTGGACAGTAAAAAAATTATCTTGATTCATTTATGCCGCCTGCAGGGCCCCCAGAAGCTTGAGAGTTTGCAACCCTGCGTGCAGACTCCGAGCCCAGGGGATCTGCCCCACAGGGGGCCAGCGGGCGCTGGGTGGGGAGGGGTCCACCCTCCTGGAACTCCCAGGGGCCTCAACTGACCAGGAGGGGCCGCCTCGGTGATCTGTATACACCTGCAGAGAACAAGCCAGACTGCTCCCCTCCCAGGAAACACTGCTCCCTTCCCGGGGTTCTCTGCTCCTTTATCCCCTCCCCAAACCCTGACTGGCCCAGACCCTCCTCCAGCCCTGACAGGAGGCCCCCAAGAGTGTGTGCAGAACTGGCGGACCCTGGAGACCCCCTTGGGTCTGGGGGCGCCCTAAGCCTGTCGGGCAGGACTGGCAGCTGGAAATGACTTGCTCCTCAACTAACAGCAACCAAGGGAGCCTCTCAGGTGGACCCTCCTGATTGGAGGGGCAGCTTCTCCCCAGGGGCCTTGGGAGTGACCCTATGCTCAGACGAGGGGGGTGTTGGCCTGGACAGGCCCGCCTCCCCACCCCGGGCTGCCCTCCCCGATATAGGATCTTGCTCGGCCCTGAGCACCCTTCTTCTGGGAGGACCCCCTTCATATCACTTCAGACACGTTAAAATGCACCCGCATCAGTCATCAAGGGGTTTACTGAGTGTGTCCCACGGCTAGTCACTGTTCTAGGCACGAGAGATGCCCAAGACAGCACACTGTGTTAAACATGAGTATTTGCGCCTATATGTTTTTTCGAAAAGTTCTACAAATATTTGATAGTTTTGAATCTGTAGTTTTCTTTCCGAATGTCAGAAAACACACACACACTTTTTAGCAGCCCTTTGTTAACATTACAGACCTGAGCTAAAGAGCCCTGGTGCCTCATGGTTACAGCAGCCCTGCTACCCAGCACCTCAAGGCTGCCTCCTCCAGGAAGCCCTCCGGAGTTTCCTTAATCATACATGATGAGGATGCCAGCAGGTGCTTACCAGTAAAGTCCCTTACTAGAGAAGGGGCCACCCAGGCAGCTGCCTTACCCCACTCAGGCCAGTTGGGTCTGAGACACCCTGGGGAACCCCCCACCTCCCGGGCTGTGACGCCACAGATAACAGCTGGGTGTCTGCACTGAGCAGCCCCTCGCTCCTGTCCTGAGCAGGGCTCCATGGGGTTCACAAAGGAGGAGCTGCTCTCTCTGGTCCCTGGGCAGCCTGGCCACAGGGCCACCGGGCTACACGTGTTTCCACCTTTCAGAGACCTCAACAGCACCTCAGCTGGTTTTGAAATGTCTGCCAAGGTTGAAAAGCAGGAGGTTTTACCCGCAAGTCTGAGCGGCGGGCCTCCGCATCAACGTGCAGACCACGGGGCAGAGCTGACGGCAGGTGCCACCTGGGACAGGCCCTGCTCCCCACAGTCAGCGGCCACTGTTACCCGCCCGGGCCCTGGGAGCACGGTGGTTTGCAGCCCCTGCAGGCAAATCTGAGGGGCTGGCCGGGTCCCCCACCTCCTGCCCACCTGCAGGCTTGGGACCAGGGTCTGCGCTCTCCATCTCAGACATCCCACCTGCTCCTGGTGCAGATCCCCCTCTCCCCATGACATTAGCATCACAAAACCAGTCCTTTTTCCTCACAACCCCTGCCCCTGTGGCCCCTGCAGTCCTGGTGGGCTTCTGGGTCGATTACTGGACCACCAGAATGGGAGGGTGGCAACTATTCCCCAGCTCCGAAGGGGAAATCCTAAGGCGTGTGACAACAAGACAAGCCCCTGGGAGTTTAGGGGGATGCTGGCAGCCACTGGCCCTCAGGTGGACACATGGATGGACATACATGGCCTGCAGGGCCCATGGGGGCCCCTCCCAGCCCTGAGTCTTCAGCAGAGGCGAATGTGTTGGAACAAGAAGCCCTCATCCCTCCTGAGAAGGCACCTCAGCCCCGGAGCCTGGAGGGACGGGGCATCTAAGACGACAAGGGCTCTCTCTCCACGTGCCAGCTCATCCAGTCTCAGGAGGACGTAGGAGAACTCCCCAAAGGCGGAGGTTCAGTTTTCTTTCCTGGTAGTTAAATTAATACATTTTCAAACATCAGAGGAGGCTAATGGGGTGAGAAAGATGGGAGTGTTGACCAGAGACACGAAAAACCAAGCTGACAACCGTCCCCACAGCTGGGGAGGCGGGGGTCTCCCAGAGACAAATGCGGCCCAACCCCCGCTGAGGCCCCCGGGCCCACACCACGGTGGTACCCCGCAGACGGCCCGGGGGGCCGGGGTGGGGGGCCCAGACCACCCTCCCAGGGATCCCCAGCACGCCCCCCTCATACCTACAGAGCCTGGGGGTCCCTCGGCATGCCGGGCGCGCCCACTGGGTCCTCGCTCCGCCGTTGCCAGGGCAACCGCGTCTCCAGGGCAACGAGGCTGCGCAGGCGGAGGGCGAACCTTCCAGAAGGCCGTGGGGAGGGGGCGGAGCCGCCGGGAGGGGGAGGGGGAGCGGGAGGGGGAGCCGAGCCCCAACCCCGCAGGAGCCACCCAACCGCGGATAGTCCCGAACAGCCAAGGAGATGCTCTCTTCCTCGTCCCTAGGACCCCCACGTGCTGCGCCATTACTGCAGATGGGGAAACTGAGGCCCGGCAGGGCGGGTGCGCGGCCCATCCCGCAGATGCGGTCACCCCCAACCCTTCCCACGCGGCCCCACCCTGGCTCATCACCGGGTGACACACTGTGCCCCTGTTTACAGTGAACGATCTAACGCACAGACGTACAACTCCCTTGTGACTTCCAGGAGATTCACAGGGAGGTGCAGCGACCCCCGGGAGCCCTCCTGATGATTCAACATCTCCGCGCTGGTCCAGCCCCCAGGGGGTCGGCGACGCTCCGCGGATGGTGGGTGCACGGCCGCCCCGCGATGCGCTTCACCACGCCGGGAAACACGAAGCGCCCGCTGTGCGCAGTGTCCCTCTAGTCCTCGCCACAGCCCCACGTGTCACGGTCGCCCCATTCACAGGTGGGGAAAAGGAGGCACAGAAGAATTAGCCCCAACGTGCGCAGGACCCGAATGAATGAAGCCAGCCGCGACCCCGCACACACGCTGTCCCCTGGCGCATCCGTGCTGCCCCGCGAGGGGCCGCCCTGGCCTGGGGCTCCTGCAGCCCTCCGTCACAGTCCAGCTCTAACTGGGCTCCGCCACCCTCTGGGGGACTGGAGAGCAGGTGCCCCTAGCGTCAGCCCCACCGCACAGATGGGGAAACAGAGGCCACAGCAGAAGGCCGGCAGGCAGCGGCTTCAGAGCATCCCCCTGACCCAAATCACAGCATAAGCACAGCCGACGTGGGCGCCCTGGCAGGCGGCCCTCTGCACCCTGCCTGCACCTTCCCCCCAGTCCCTCACGCACACAGGGCACCAGGGACGGAGCTGTGGTCTGGCTCGAGTCCTTGTCTGACCTGCTGGGCCACACGGCCTCTAGAGACCCTGAAGGAAGGAGCTGGTGGGGCCTCGGGTCCCCTGCATCCCTCTTCTTCTGGGGCTGCTGGCAGCTGGGGTGATGCCCGCGCCCCAGGGTCTTCCCCAGAGGGACACCCCAGAGCCCCCTCTGACAGTCCATCGTCCATCCATCAGACACCCTGACCAGACGCTCGCTGTGCCAGGTGCTGGGGGCAGAGGAGACCTGGGGACATTTGCCCACTGTCCATCCGGGAGCCGCCAGTCCCACGGAGAAGACCAACGATAAACAAGTGAGCACAGAAATAAGTGACAGATGACAGTTACATCACAGATAATAGTTA